TCGATAGATACTTGGGAAGCAAACAAATAGGAAAGTTATGTAATTTTTTTTTTCTTTTTTATTTAAAGAACATGTGGTTGAAAATGAGTGTGGGAAATGTGGTTTTCAAATACTTATTTTCAAACAAAGGTATATATAACAATTGCATAGTTGTTGGTAAGTGAGCCGCTCGTATGCTCATGTTCACTCGTGGACTCCTTAGAATGAGTGAAATAAGCATTTGGTACTGAGTTTAATCCTCTTTTTTTGGACAAAATGAACCAAATACAATTTCAGTAAAAATGGCGAGTCGCAAGCCGGCTCAACTCATCCCACCAAGAGGTGAGCTCGTGGTAAGTGAGCCGGCTCACGTAGCTCGCTCCACTTTCTACCCCTAATAGAATGTATCAACGAATGACTACAAGACTTGAATTACAAGCTGACTTTTGACATTTCTACTCTTAATTTTTTAGGTGACATGCTCGACCATGGTATCAGAGCTTAACATGGTTCTATATTTTTGCATGCCTTGGTATGCTGGCATTTGAGAAAACTTGAATCGATATTGGTTCCCAAAACCAATGCCAGGTTACATTAACTATACCTTTGAGCCACATGACTGCAATGGCATGCACTCTGAAAATCGACCCCCTAATTCCGTCATTAACACAGCCATATCACCTCCAAATCTTTCTAAATCCATTTCATTTTCAGTCAAATTCCCAAACCCTTCTCCACAGTCTACATATTTTGTCTTCTAATTCCATCATCGACTTAACGAATCCAAGAACTCGAACACCATGAGAAAATGGAAATTTATGTTGACAGTGTATTTAAAAAAGAAGTTGTGACGGAAAAACCAGATGCAGTTGAAGTTGTGACCTTATACCTAGTGTTGGTTAAGGATATTGCAAATGTTACAATTTCCCCTGCAAATGTGTTGGGATTGGTGACCCATATTCGGGTTACGATGTGAAGAAAACATGGTTGAATTAAACTTGGAAAGGTATCAATTTGTATCCAAGTTTTTTTGGCACAGTTTTTATTTTACACGTTTTCTTCATTCTTTCTCTATTCTGACATATCCCTAGGGTTTTGTGCGTGTAGTATATATATGGATGCTCTTCTTTCAGTTTAACAAGTCAACATTGCTAAGTTCTTGTAATTTCTCTCCATATTGTT